ACTTTTTCTCTCGAGATCAGATTAATATGAGTTTAAGAACATCGAGGTTTTTAAGTGGATAACCTAAGGATGTGTCATTATTTAGATTGAGTAAATTTCAATGATGAAGTTTCTTTTAAAGAGGGGAGAGTTGTAACACCCTAAAGTTTGGGCTAGTAGTTTCGGGTTTACCCTAGAGGTAACTAAACCCCGTAAATTTTATAATTTAAGTCATTGGTCTTAATTGGGTTAAGATATGGCCTAATTAGTTTGCAAAAGGAGATTTTTAATTAGTATATAAATGAAAAAGAACCAAAAGTGTGATTTTTCCATTTTCAAAAGATGAGCCTTCATATTATTTTATTTTCTTCTCCTTCCCATTTTCTCTCATTTTCCTTCTTCTTCCTCTTCAAAAGGACAAGATAAACGAAAAGAGACCAAGAAGACATTCCTAGTGGGTTACCACCTATTAGAGGAATAAAGCATCAAATTGATTTCATTCCCAGTGCAACCATTCCAAACCGACCAGTATATAGAAGCAATATTGAAGAAGCTGAAGAACTTCAAAGATAAGTTGAAGAATTGATGGACAAGGGATATATACGAGAAAGCTTAAGTTCATGTGATGCTTCGGTGTTACTTGTACTCAAAAAGGATGGTTCATGGAGAATGTGTGTAGACTGTTGTGCTATTAATCAAATTACCATCAAATAATGACATCCTATACCAAGACTTGATGATATGTTAGATGAATTGAGTGGAGCCACTATGTTCTCCAAGATTGATCTAAAGAGTGGATATCATCAAATCAGAATGCGAGAAGGAGATGAATGAAAGACTGCATTTAAGACAAAGCAAGGCTTATACGAATGGATGGCGATGCCTTTTGGTTTATCCAATGCTCCTAGCACCTTCATGAGGTTAATAAATCATGTACTCCGGCCATTCATCGGTAAGTTTTGTGTGGTTTATTTTGATGATATTCTGATTTATAGTTATAACTTGGAAGCACATGTGCAACATTTGAGGGATGTTCTTGAAACCCTTCAAAAGGAAAAACTCTATGCTAATATGAAGAAATATGTCCTTTGCACTAACAGTTCATCCTTCTTAGGCTTTATTGTAAGTTCACAGGGTCTTGAAGTTGACCCTGAAAAGATTAATTCCATTTAAGAGTGGCCAACGCCCACTTCAATCAGTCAAGTTAGAAGTTTTCATGGTTTTGCCAGTTTTATAGGAGGTTTGTGCCTAATTTCAGTTCTATTTCCGCCCCCTTAACAGGGATCTTTAAAAAGAATTATGTATTTTCATGGGGCAAAGAACAAGAAGATGCCTTCAATGAAATGAAAGGTTATTTAACAAAGGCACCTTTACTTGCACTACCTAACTTTGATAAGACTTTTGAAGTGGAATGTGATGCTTCTAGAATTAGAATTGGGGTTGTTTTGACTCAAGAAGGACGATCAATTGCATACTTTAGTGAAAAATTGAACGGTGCTTTGCTAAATTATCCAACTTATAACAAAAAGATGTATTATCTCATAAGGGCACTTGAAGTTTGGCAGCATTATCTTTTACCAAAGACCGACCATGAAGCGTTAAAGCATATCAAAGGACAACACATGTTGAACAAGCGTCTGGCCAAATGGGTAGAGTTTTTGGAGTCATTTCCATACGTTATTCATTACAGGAAAGGTAAAGACAACATTGTAGTCGATGTTCTCTAAAGAAGGTATGTACTCCTTAGCACTCTTGATTCAAAGTTAATTGGTTTTTTATATATTAAAGACTGTTAGGCTACTGGCCATGACTTTGAAGAAAAGCATAAGGCTTGTGAAAAAGGTTCATATGAAAAGTTTTATAGGAACGAAGGGTATCTATTCAAAGAATGGCATCTATGCATTCCTCAAGTGTCCCTTCGAGAAGTACTTGTTCGAGAAGCACATGAAGGAGGTCTCATGGGTCATTTTGGAGTAAGCAAAACCTTGGAAATTTTGAAGCAACACCTATATTGGCCTAAAATGAAAAGGGATGTTGAAAGAGTATGTGAAAGATGTATTACTTACAAAAAGGCTAAATCAAAGGTTATGCCTCATGGTCTTTATATGCCTAAAGGAACTATCACTCGTGGAAAGGCAAAATAATTCAGGGAAGTACTTTCTCATAAGTGTATTCATGCTTTTAAACTTTTTAATGAGAAAGAACCATTAGATAATATGTTGTTTAATATATTACATGTTGATTATTAAATAACTTATAGTACACATCTTTACCTGATACACATTAATATAGTTCATATACTTAACTTATTCTTTATGTTATGTGTGTAGGTACTTTCATCCACAACTTTAGAGCTATCTTAGAGCTAAATGGTGAAAGTAACAATAAGGAAACTTATATGAGGATGTTTAGTAGAGCATAAGGAACTCTTGGTGACAAGTTTTTTGGAGACCCGTGAGCTCATAGGTTGATTGAACTGAAGATTTGAGCTACAACAGGACTTCAATTCAGCTGGAAAGTTGCACCATCATCATCACCACTTAGGACACTTCAAATATGTCCTAAGTCAATTTTTGTGAAATCGTACCTTTTCGTGAATAGTTGTCGGCTCAAGAGGTACCTTTTCACAAGGAGCTACCATAAAGTTCATCATGCTACAACTCACCTATGACCAGCTCACCTCCAGCTCATTCACCCTAGAACTAGCTCAAACATGAAAGGTTACCTTCCAACAATTGTGACTTTTCATGAATGATGCTACCCATAAAGATGCCCTTTCATCAAGGTGCATGTTGGTGAAGAGTTTACATCCATTGGAGGCCTAAATCATGAAGAGAAATAAGATAAGAACCATGGCTATTTGGCCACCACCCACATGCCTTGCACATGGAGACTTTGGCACCAACTTGGGGAGACACAACACAATTCGGCCAAGGAAGGTAACTTTGGCACCAAGATGAACAGGCATGTACCATTCAGGTAAGGAAGATGAATATTCATCCTAGCTGAATAATCATGACCCCTTTGAAGAGGTAGTTGAACCATCATCAAGCCGAGGGACTTCTCTTTTCATTTTAAAGCATTATGTACTTTCATAAAGAATCATGTACTTGTTGAAACATTATGTGACTATTCGGCCAAGCCCTCTCATTTCCTATAAATTGAGAGGCTTTCTATCATTTGTACTCATCTCATTTCATAATATAAACAAACCTTTGTGAGTTAAATCTCTCTTCAAAGTTCTTTGAGAACTTTATCGATTAAGCAAGTATATTTCTTATACTTGTGGCGTCATTCCTTTCACCTTGATTCCTAAATTCCTAGATTTCATATCTAGTGTGTTGAAGACACTATTACCACCCCTCAAGCAAGTTTATGAAGACCCGGGTTGTGCTCTTCAGCATTGCTTCTTCTTTGGTGTGTTTGAGATACAACATCATTACCATCTTCCATACAAGATCAACACCATCAATCATCTTCCATCAAGACCACCAAAAACTTCATTATAATTCCGCAACCATCTCTTTTCTAACTTCATTATAATTCCGCAACCATCTCTTTTCTTACTTTTTATTCCATTAATTATTTACTTATCCATTTCTTATTCCATTAGTAATACAATTTTTTATAATCTTTGTTGCAACCATAATTATAACTCAAGGACATTAGTACTTGTCATTCCTAGATCGGGATAACAATAAGCCTATCTATTCACTTCCATTTAAGAGTGTAGATTTGGCTTACATCACGAAGTAGCCATATTAGGCAAAATACTTTAGAGTATTTTTAATCAAACATGTATTGAGTAATTGTGAACGAACAAAATAGCAGTAAGTGAGGGAGTGATCTTACCTACTTGTGTTTTATTTGATAATAATGACAAAATAACCATGTTATAATAATGATATATGTGTGATAACCATAAAACCTTACGAGGTATGATTCCATAAGACTTATGTCTTTATTTGCCACTTCGAAAACTACGAGGACACCCGTGTGATAACTCTCCAAAAGAGTTATCCTTAGGATCATTTTCACCTAAGTTTAGTTTGAACTTGAGTATTTTTAGGAGCATTTTAGGACCATATTTGTTTACTTTTTGCATTTTTTGTTTAATGAGAGTTGAGTGGGTTATCTAGGGGTGAATTGGAATTTTATTACCGTAAAACCATCAAATTGATGTTGTAGTACTAGTTAAAGTTGTAGGAGATGAGGATTGGATATTGCAGCAACTAATGAGTTATCAGGTGATTAGGAGAACCTTCTAGATTCATTTGGCTGGAAAACACCCGAGATGTGGAGGTATCAAATTGGAGGATGAAAATTTTTCAAGTTTTTGGTGTCGTTGTTGGAGAGCATCGATTTTGCATTAGAGTTTATTATTATTTACTTATTTGTTTATTTTCTTTTTATTGGTACTTATCTTTACTATATTAATTAGTTTATGACCCGAAGTGACAACGAACTAAAGCCTTTTGATCCAAAAATAAATTGAACATTTAGATGCCATAGAAGAGAAGTTGTGAGACATCAAGAAAATATGAATGTTAGAAATGCTAACAATGCTCTACCTCCGATAAAATATAAAGATGATGCTAAATTACCAATTGGTAATGGAGCTGGACAGTGACAATTTTATAATATGGATGATCGATATTAATCTATTAGAAGGAAAATAATGCCAACACTCAATGATCTATATCCTGGCATATTGCGACCAGTAATTCATGCTGCCAATTTTGAATTGAAGCCAGTCATGTTTCAAATGCTACAGTTCATGGGACAATATATGGGTCATTTGCTGAAGATCCTTGAGCACATTTGAGGACATTTAAGGAGGTTTATGATTCATTTGTTAGTAAGGAGTCCATGAAGAAGCACTAAAGCTAAAGTTGTTTCCTTACTCGATAAGAGATAAAGCTAGAGCGTGGTTGAATTCGTTGCTACCTAGTTTTATAGCATATTGGAATGAGTTGGCACAAAAGTTCTTGCAGTGATTCGACACGCAAAACATGAATACAGAGCTGAAAAATGACTTCACATCCTTCAAGCAACTTGAGGAAGAAAACTTGTATAAAGCATGGGAGAGATTCAAGGATTTGCTACGGAAGTGTCCGATGCATGGGTTTCCACATAGGACTCAAATGGAGATGTTTTACAATGGGTTGAACATATACACTCATATGGTAGTTGATGCTTCAACAAATAGAGCTTTGATAGATAAAACATATAATGAAGCCTTTGATATTCTAAAGTGGATATCCACTAATGATTGTCATTACCCTAGTACGAGAAATATGTTTGGCCGACGCAATGATGTAGTAGTAAATTCTAAAACTTTCAACTCTATTACATCTTAAATTTCAGCGTTAACGAACATGGTGGAGAAGTTACAAAAACCAGGGGGAATGTAAAAAGTCAAGGATGCATCTATCATTACTTGTGTTCATTGTGGAGATAATCACAACTTTGATGAATACCCTCAAAATCATGAATCTATCTTTTATGTGCGGTATCAGAGGGATGACAATACTTTTGGCAACATATGCAATGCTAATTTTTGGAATCATCCAAATCTTTCTTGGAGAAGTTAGAACATTGCTAATCTGTAGCAGTAGTATTATCACTCACAACATTATAATCAGTAGCAATATTCAACACAACCTATTAAGGCAAACTTATCAAGGACAATCTTCAACACAACCTTCCATTTTATAGTCTTTTGAAGCCTTGATGAAAGAGTACATGGTGAGTAAATCAGCGTCATTAAGGGATTTAGAGAATCAAATGGGCAAAATGGTTAATGCTCTAAATAATTATTTGCAATGAACACTCTCTAGCGATATTGAAAATCCCAAGTAGAAAGGAAAATATCATTGCAAGACTATTACTACAAGGAGAGAAATTCATATTTGGGAGTCGGTTGAAGAGCTTAGGAAGAATGATGCAAAGGTTACCCAACATGGTAACAGAAAAAGCAAAGAAGTTGAGTTAGAGCCAATTGTGGATCATATCACAGCAAAAGATACATGACATGGTAGTAATTCAAATTCATTGCCGATAGCAATACCTGCAACAGCTGACACACCACCAACTTCAATGCCGTAACAAAAACAACCGAAGATGCCTCCACTATTTCCTTAGCACTTTAAAAAGACAAAAAGAATATCAACAATATAAAGGTTTCGTTGATGTCATTCAACAACTCACAATTAACATTATGTTTATTGATGCATTAGAGCAAAACCCAAACTACATCAAACTCATGAGGGAAGTTCTTTCGAAGAAGAGGACACTTGGAGAATTTGAGACTGTCGCTCTTACCGAAGGATGTAGTGCTATGTCTACTAGTCAATTTCTACCAAATCTTAAAGACCCAGGGAGTTTTACTATTCCTTCAATATTGATGATAAATTTGAAGGGAAAACATTATGTGACTTGGTTGCAAGCATCAATCTAATGTCGTTGTCAATATTTAGGAAATTTGGGAATGACTAAGCAAGACCCACTATAATCACATTACAAATTGTTGATCACTCTACTGTGCATCCTAGTAGAACCATAGAAAATATACTTGTGAGAGGGGACAAGTTCATTTTTCCTACTGACTTTATCATTTTGGATTATGAAGCTGATAAAGATGTTCCTATCATCCTTGGCTGCCCATTCCTTACTACTGGCCGAACCTTAATTGATGTTGAAAGGGGGAATTCACCATGCATTTAAATGATGATCATATAAATTTTAATGTTTTAAATGATGTTTGTTACATGAATGATAGTGTTGATTGTTTCTCACTTGATGTTATAGATATTTTTGTGCAACAGGATTAAAAAAAAATATTGTAGTACAGATGTTGCTACCAGCTATGTGGTGGCAATTAAAGAATTATTTGATGACAGATAAGTTGAATGTTGTGGCAATTACATGTAAGATACTAAACCTCAATAAATGCCTGATCATATTATTCAAGCTCCAAAGACATCCATTGAGGACCCATCCGTCCTCGATTTGAAACCTCTGCCAGAGCATCTTAAGTATGTGTACCTTGGAAAAAATGGAACACTGGCAGTCATTATGGCAACACAACTTACATCATCGTAGGAAGCTAAGATGATCGATGTGCTGAAGCACCACAAGAGAGTTATTTCCTAGAGCATCATTGATGTAAAGGGCATGAGTCCAACATTTTGCATGCATAAGATTTTTTTTGAAAGACCCTAATAGTAGTTTGATTGAATATTAATGAAGGCTAAATCCAATCATGAAAAAAGTGGTAAGAAATGAGATTATTAAATGGTTGGATGTTGGAATGATATACCCAATTCTGGAAAACAATTGGGTTAGCCTTATACAATGTGTTCCAAAGAAATGAGAGATTATTGTGGTGACAAATGATAAAAATGAATTAGTGCCGACAAGGACCACTACTGGGTGAAGGATATGCATTGTAACACCTATTTCCCATATACATCCCCGTATACGAATCACATATGTCACATGACATTTAAAACATTTTAGTACTTGAAAACTAACAAAATTTTGTTTCTTTAAAAATACAATTTAATAATATAGTTTATAAACTTTCTTCAAATATATATATATATATATATATATATATATATATAATAACGTTTAAAATCCATTAAATAGTAGTTTAAGTTCGAATATAATATAATACTACAACCAAGTACCAAGTATCTTATCAGAGCATCACAACATATCTAAGTACATGCCAACTAGTAATATCAAAATAAACATCTACAGATGTCATACTGTTATTGAAGAGGTAATCCTTGATAGATGATATCAGTTGCACTCCTCACTCCGATTCTTACACTAAACCTACGCATAAAAATCATCACACGCTAAGTATTCACTTAGTGAAACATAAAACAAATAAAGCACTTAAGAAAAACATGAGTAAACCATTATAAGATCAAAATATGATTTATCGTATAAAATACATAAATGCATAAAAACTGACTTGATAAGCCAAGTTTCCAACAAATAACCTGCGAAAAAATATTTAGTATGCCCAACATACCTATCAATCGATATATTCAAAAGTATTCATTCATAGACCAATGTAAGTCAAATAAGAATGCAAGGTACATGAGTTGCACATAGATGCTAAACAAAAGTATAGGTAATATAATAACAACGACACTATTCTAATATATCGAAATAGTAATTCACAAACTTATTATGAATATTGTGCATGCATACATAGTAAAAAAAAGTACACAAAGGTATTAATACGAAAATGCAACATATGCATTAAACAAAATAGATCGATAACCATTACACTCCAAGTATGTCAAAATTTACCTATAACTCTCAATGCACATACAATAGGCCTTTAAATCAAATTCACATATTAAACATTTATTCTGAAACATCGATAGCTATTAAAATAATATAAAAACTCATCCATCTATTTTAGGCCAGTTCATACCCTAAAATTTATTCATAAAAATCATTTCCATAAACTTTATGAAAATATTTCAAAATAAAGGAAAACATGCTTTTATAAAAACATTCGAGGTTGACTTATCGCATGTAATCCTCATATCATATAAGTACATAATAAATGCACTCACCTGGTATGCCTCACTATTATGCCTTACTATCGAAATCTGATTGCTCTTGAACTTTTTCCTTGTCTTTCGTTTTGCTCATATCATGAGTTCGATCACGATCTACACGAGCATCTATACAGAACATAATCAAATATATAATACATGTTAATATTCTTACTAATATTTCATACATAATATTACTCAAAAAGTACTATTATTTTTGAATTCCTCCAAAATTCATCTTAACTTTTCCTTTTTATTCATATTAGGCTCTTGTCATTAATTCTTCAATTCAAGCCCAATAAGCCCAATAATTTCCATGATTAAACTTTCAGCCCAAATAACTCAATAATGCCATATTTATAATTTAATCCACTAACTTTCTCAATGTTTATCATTTAGCACTCAAACTTCGTCAATTTTCCAAAATGGCTAAACTTCACATTCTAACTTCAATTTCAGTCCCAAAATAGTAATTTTCAGCATTGTACAACAATTATTGAACAATTATACAACAACCCATAATATTTTTATAATTACAGATTTGTTCCCCCAACTTTAAAAAAAATACAGATTGGCCCAAAAAAATTTAAGGCTTGTAGAACATTTCTAATATAATTTCTAAGCCACATGAAATTTTTCAAAATTTTTACCCATCATCTTCCTCAAGGTCAAATGGTTTATGTATCCAATACTATACATTTTCATGATTTTACTCTATTTTGATTCGATTCAAGCATGAAATCAACCTTGATTTAACCTTATACAATCTATACAGTCAAAGCCCTAATCAAATTTCATCATAACATAAACTTCCTCCAAGATTTGGATTAGGCCAAAATTACCCATAGCTTATATAGGCGTGTATAGTTTATTTTAACCATAAATCATGCTTGTCATTGATTCTACAACCTCAAAAATATCAAAATCCTTCATCAATTTCATACACCCTAATATGGACATAAACCCTAGAATTTGGGATCTTTGAACACAAACAAAATTAGCAAGCAATAAAGGTACCAAGTGATAGCTTTTTTTGAATAGAACAATTTTCTATTTCACGACATGATCCAAAATAAAAAGGTAATTACTCAAAAATGAAAAATAAATTTCTCTTACCTAGGTCATGGGGAGCACGAAATGGAGCTGAAAATGGCCTAAGTTTCATGAAATTTTCATGTAATTTCATGTTAATTTAACCTTTATTTAAGCTAAAATATTCATTTAATGAGAAATGTCAAATTTTCCATTAATGGAACTTTATATTTACTATAATACCATGCCACATAACCTTATCATCTTTCCAAAGTAAAAGATGAACAAAATATTTTACCCTTTTCCAATTTTACCAAGCAACTTTCTAAAAATTGTAATCTTGCCACTTTAATCCAACGATCCAAATTCAACATGGAAATAAGTTCTCAAATCCAATGGTCCATATTATATTCCATCATTTTAACATGTGGAAATAATATTTTTAAGCCTAATTTATAATCTTTCAAATTTTCCCGAAATTTCTATTCGATCCGATTTATCGATTTCTTAC